AGATAGATAGATAGATAGATAGATAGATAGATAGATAGATAGATAGAGCTGAGGGAGGTGCAGTTCCACCGGGCGGCCAGCAGATGGCCACATTTCACCATCGGTAAACAGTGACCAGCTCTCTTAGACTCAGACTACTTTAATGTCATTTTGGATGTACAGAGTGCACACAGAAGGAAATTTTTGTTGTTTACAGCTTAAGAAAGCGTCCAAAAACATAATTAAACAATTCACAAAGCTCAGAAAGAGGCCTTAATGTCTCATCTAAGGGGGGAAACTAACCGAGAGCGCGCCACCACACTTTCAGCTTCCAGCCTTTAGGGGGAGATCCATTTCATCAGATTTAGGTGTTTAGAAGCAGGCGATTCTCTAAAAGCTCCGAGACAAACAATCAAACGAGAATGAAAGTGATGAAAAAAAAGAGCTGACTCAGCAAAGTCCACAGATCCGCAAAGGGAAAAACTCAACACAATCGAAGGCAAGCTGAAGGAAAATCGATAAACCTGCTAATTTGATTCAATAGACATTTCAAATTTAGTGAAGCAGAACCAGAACCGGGACGTCTGGAGGCTCTGAAACCGTTCCCTCCTTTATGAGAAAGGCTCAGTCTTGGATGGTAAAACTGCCGGGTTTTACTGCCTGGACTGTTGGTTTTTGGATCAAAACCTCATGGTTTACGGTGTTTCGTGTCTCGGTTTCTCTGCATTCGTCTGCTGGGAAACTGGAGGCTCATGGCTTCATATCCTCCCTCCGAAAACGAATGAAAACGTCTCTAAAAACGCTGAGTCAGCACCCAAACCTGACTGAGGGAAGTCAGTAATCCTCAATGATGTAAAACAGTAATAATGGAGAATATTGGATAGTTATTGAAAGCTTTATATACATTTTTATATACCTTAGATAGATTTTTTTCTCCTTTATGAATGTGTAAGTAGCCTCCTGACTAATAATCTGGATGGTGACTCATGATTTAATTGGATAAAACTAATTAAGGAGCATTTATTTTTTTAAATATCCTGTTTTTGAGTAATATTATCATTATGTCGTCTTTTTTTTTGGCAGACGGATGCAAACTGGTCTAAAGTTGACTTCCAGCTTTCCCTACCAAATTAGTCCGTCTTAATATTTGTTCAAATTTGTTTGTCATACATTCGGGTCAGTTCGATGTAGTCCGATTTAATTAAAGTAGTTCCAAATAACAGCAAGTCTAATCTCGAAGGAACTTGGAAAATACATCCAGTTGGAGCCAGAAAACAACTCATTCTTATAGAATCTATTCAGAAAAGTCAGGTCACCAAAAGGCTAAATCAGTCCAATAAATGTTACATAACCAAACAAAATGAGACATTTTCAGAGATACGAGCAGAAAAGGATGGAGACCTTAGGACACGGTGGATCCAAAAAACGGAGATGAGGCCATCGTGGTGAACTTTAAGCGGAATAAAACCCAAAAGGAGACAGTTTTTGGTTTGTCCTCCAGGTGTCAGCTGAGCTCAGGCTTTGGCCTGGTCTTATTTTATTCTCCAAAAGTCCCAGATTCCAGCGTTTCCACAAATCTTTCTTTTTTTTTAACTCACAAATCGAACTGAACTCGTCTGGATGCCCAAAAGCAGTTTCCAAAGAGGGACTCAATAAAGGAACAAACCCTAGTTCAAACCTCTGTAATTGAGCAGTCCACCTGCATTAGCCTCACCCCTGTTGCCGAGGCAACCGGGCGACCTCGGAAAAATAAAAATAAAGGGGTCTGACTCTCTTGGAGAGCACAGGTCGGGCCATGTTTTTTTGTCCGGGTGGTGAGCTCACCTGGGGAATTCACGTCAAGCTGAACCCAGTAGGGTTGTCACGATACTAACATTTTCAACTGGATACCGATACTCAGGAAAATATTCGATAGTCGATACCATTTTCCATACCACAAGGATAAAAACAAAGACCCCAAAATTGAATTGAATTTTGACAGGTTAGTGTCTTTGGTTTCAAACTGACCTGTTACTGATGTTATGGTGGCCCACATTAATGACCCTAATCATAACCCTGACCCTTACA